CAGATGCAGACAGGTGCTACCAAAGAGAACAGCACAATTTAGCCTGCGGAGGGAGGCCCATGTTAGCTAGGTCACTTCTTTATATACTCCAATTTAACTGAAGTCACTAAAATCGGAGTTTGAATTGTAGTTCGGCCACTTGCCACTTCTATGACTTTGGGTAATCTTTCTGTACCTTCTGGGCCTTATAAAAAGGCATCCTCATCCCTATTCCTTTATTCATTTTCAATTGAGTGCCTCTTGGTACTGTGGCCAGGTACACTCGTGTAAAGCAGACACTTTACATGGCTATGGTCAGGATTAAATAAGTAAAAGTATGTGTTATGCAGGTTGAATTGTGTCCTCTCACCCCAAAAATCCATATGTTGAAGTTCTAAACCTCCAGTACCTCAGAAAGTAACCGTATTTGGAAATGGGATCATTGCAGAGGTAATTAGTTAAGATAAGGTCAGACTGGAGGAGGGTGGCCCCAATCCAGTATGATCGGTGTCCTTATAAAAAGAGGAAATTTGAACAAAGACCACCCAAGGAGAATTCTATGTGAAGATGAAGGCAGAGATCTATAAGCCAAGGAACACCAAAGACTGCCACTCAACTTGAGGGGAGAAGCAGGGAGCTGATTCTCTCATAGTCCTCAGAAGAAACAACTCTGCTGACACCTTGAACTCAAGACTTCCACCTTCCCCAAGTGTGAGAAAATAAATTTCTATTGTTTAAGCTACTCAGTTTGTGGCACTTTGTTAGAAGAGCCCCAGCAAACAAATACAGTATGCAAAGCTCTTAACACAATGACCGGTGCATAGTAACTATCTGATATGCAATGGCTGCTATTATTATTATTGAGATTATTCTCATTGGTCATTGGAACAGATATTTAGTGAACAAGTACCATGTGCTGGGCACCGTACTAGACCTTGAAGATAAGCAGATATCAGTTCCTGCCTATTGGATTCAGAGTTTTGAATAGGGGTCAAATGTAATGCATTATGAAGGAATTATGGAGGTGCATCTGGGAAGGCTTCCTGGAGGAGGAAACATTTAGGCTGAGTTTTGAAAAATAAGTAGGTACTATCTCCAAGCAGACCATGAAGTGGTAGCGTACTCCAGTTAAAGGAAACAGCAAGTGCAAAGGTGTAGCAGCAAGAACGTAATTAATGAATTAGAGAAACTCTGATCATCTCTATGCCAGACATAATGGGACTGTATGCCCATGTAGGAATCCAGGGTGGACACACCATATTTAAAGTTGTTTCTTACCTTGCAGACAAAATTCCCTCTCGTTTCCTGGGGGGCTTTCACCAGCAGCTGTCAGAGCTGTCATCCACAGGACATATGTCACACTGGGCTGCAGGTTGTCTACTGAATGTGAATTTGGGGATACCCTATAGGGAATTTCTGAAAGGAGGATAAAGATAAAACAAGAAAGGCACATATTAAAGGAAGTATTTGAATGTGAGCTTTTACTTATTTTTGTTGTTGTTAATGCTCTGTTTAATTTGAAAGAGAAAAGCACATTGTTGTTTTAAAACAGTCCTAATTCATTAGTACTTAATATTTTAATAGGCCCTAGATACTGTCATTTATGGAGGTCCTACTTCACAGCATACCGAAATAACGAAATATATTTTCTGTGGTAAAATCCTCTGAAAGAACTTCTATCATTCTGATTTTTTTTTTTAAGATTTTATTTATTTGAGAGACAGTGTGCATGCAGGAGCACAAGCAGGGGGAAGCAGGCTCCCCGCTGAGCAGGAAGACCCAGGTGGGGCTCCATCCCAGGGGATCATGACCTGAGCCAAAGGCAGACGCTTAACCAACTAAGCCACCCAGGTGCCCCTATCATTTTGCTTCTGAAATTATTTAGCTGTAGTAACTCCTTTTATTTCCTATGACTATAATGTTTCCAACATTTTTAGATCTCTTTGAGAACTTTTGGGGAGGAAATTAAATACACAAAATGTTTTCAATGGAATTTTTAAGCAAGCTAAGTTTAGCAGTTAATGAAATAGACAACATTAATTTTGATTTTCTGCTTTTTTTGGGGTAGGTTCTGGATACTGGTCTTAATGGGTTTAATACGATGATCCGCTTTGACATAAAATCTAAACGTGGGAGCAATGGTACTTAGATTAGATTTACTTGGCAGTTTAAGCCTAGATTATCAGTCCCTTTTGCTCTCAACACTCCTGCAGAGTCTCAGCAGGGAAGATGTTGGGTTTTTTGGGCAATGCACTGATGTTGTTTTTCTCCTCCTGTAGTACATAGGCAATCTTCTCCAGAGATCTGCCGGGTGTGAGTTTTGGAGTGACTTCTGAAAAGCTGGGGATGCAGGGGCAGGGGGACTACAAGATCAAGGGCAGAACCTTGGCAGGAGTAGCCTGCTGGCTCATTCAGCAGATGCGCCTGTGCTGGTGATCAAAGTGGAAACTAGAACTCAGCACTTTGAGCCGCAACATCAGTTACCAGCTCACAAACCCCCGGGCAGGTCAGACAATGCTCCTGTTTGCTAAATTTATTTCAACAGTCACAAATATTTATTGAGCTTGTGCTCTGGACAAGTCACCAAGTATTCAAAGGCACAGAATCCGCCTCGAAGAGTTCACCATCTAGTGGGGAAAACAGACCTCTTATACTCCCACACCCCTGCTTACTATGGGCAACCAGCAAGAAGGAGTCCTTTAATATCAGGGCCACTCCACCCAACAGGGCTGAGGCCTGAGCAGATCACTTGACAGCTATGACTATCAGAGCAATTTCTATATTCAACATCCTGTTGAGAAAAAAGTACCACGTGGAAAACTGCAAGCCAACTCTAACCTGGTGAAATTGCTTGCACAGACTTAAGCAGTATGATTAAACTCAAAAATCTTTTTCCTTATTCCTAAGGCAGGGGATGAAAAAATTAATTTTGGAGAGACTTTTGCTGCAGCAAAGCATCAGTGAGCATCAGAGTCAACTATCCCGACTGTGTGGAGGCATTTTCAGCTCTGAGAGTGAAATGAGAGCTCAAAACAGAGGGGCAGGGATTTGAACGGTTTGCTGGGCCAAAGAGGTTTGCATGCAAACACACACACACACACACACACACACACGTATATTTGAAGAACAAAAACAGTAACTGCGTGGAGGGAGCAGTGAGGCGGGTGATGGCACCAGCAGTTTGGCTAGCAGAAGAGGTTGTGTTGAGTAATGGGACAAGGAAGTCATGCCAGAAATACTGGTTCTGCTGCCTGGTCTGGACTGCGATCTCCAGCAGAGAGAAAGGGGGGCATTCAATGGGGGGGGTCTGAAACTTTAGGCTCCCATGGTGGGTGGTGAACTGAGGAGGCACCAGTTTAGGAAGATGGGGTAGTTGCCAATCATTTGAAAGGCTGCAGGCAGGAAGGTCAAGTGCTACCAGACAAAACAGCTGCTGTTACTGCAAACTAGCTCTAACCTAACAATCTACATTGGTTTAACAAAGTGTGGGGCAATATTCACTCATGTGTCCGTCAACAAATACTGTTTTTACAAAGCACCTCCTGTATGCCTAGCTGTATTGTAGGTCCGGGGAGACAACGGTGAGCAAATTGCCACAGCTTCCTCTTTCAGGATGTGAAAGAGTCTGTGGACACAAGCAGCCCAGGAGTAACAAAGCACAATGTACGCGCCCGTGGAGACATGCACTCTCGGTGCACACAGCGGTACGGGCACGTTTCCAGAGAATCCCCTGTAACGCAGATGCCCCACCCCAGCTGCACGCCTCCCTTCTGCTCAGGCAGGACAACTGCACTCCCCATGTGCCCTTCACGCTGCTGCCCCCCAGGGAAGAAGAGGACAGGGCCCCTTCTTCCTTGGCTCTCCGTTTGTGATGCCGCTCTCTTGGGCGTCTTTTTCCCTCGTCCTTAACCTACTGCCCTCTATTACTCTCTAGAAACTGTACTTGTGGATTTGCCAATGATTTCTGGTTGCCAAATACCATAGGGAATTGTCAGTCCTTGATCACAGCAGTTATATCACTTCTGTGGACTTTTCCATCTCCCTCGGTAGACTGCGAGCTCTCTGAAGATAGGGGACAGGTCTAATTCATCACTGAGTGCTTACTAAACAAAAGGAAAACTTAATTTAAACTGGTGTGAAATAGGACTTTGAATCTGCACCTCCTTTCAGCTTTTTTTTTTTTTTTTTTAAGGTTTTATTTATTTACTTGACAGAGAGAGACACAGCGAGAGAGGGAACACAAGCAGGGGGCGTGGGAGAGGGAGAAGCAGGCTTCCTGCAGAGCAGGGAGCCCGATGCAGGGCTCGATCCCAGGACCCTGGGATCATGATCTGAGCTGAAGGCAGATGCTTAACGACTGAGCCACCCAGGTGCCCCTCAACTTCTTTTAAAATGCCCTCACAGAGGGGGCGCCGGGCTGGCTCAGTCCGTGGAGTGTGCAACTCTTGATCTCCAGGTCTTGAGTTGGGTATAGAGATTACTAAATAAATAAATAAATAAATAAAACTTAAAATGCTCTTACATAGATTTCAGATTCATCAGATTTGTGGTAAAATAAGGTAGAAATTTTCTTCAACATGTACAAGAGTAGCTTTAAGAACCAACTGACCGTGTTGATTGTTAATAGCCATCATGGTTTAAATTCTGCTAAAATGACAATTGGGGGTGGGAGGAAGGAGCACATTTCACATGGAGAATTCCAAATGGCCCACAAAGAGGTCAATGAAGTCATCAGGTTCTGGGGTGCATTTCTGAACTGACTTACCCTGACAGGCCCAGTAGGAAGCAGCTCTGTACAATGATAGATTCTACTTAGCAATGGTGGATTAGTTAAGTGACTGCTTGCAAGGCCTTACAATAGAATTCTACAGAACTGTTAAAAAAGAATGATGCAGGGCGGGAGGTTTGTGGTCCACAGGGCGCCAGCCGAACGGTACTGGGGAGGTCCTCAGCCCAGCACGGTATTTTTAGCCAGGACATCAATGCAAGCCTCAATAAGAAAAACAATTTCTTCCTCCTAAGCCACGGCATATCAGTTATACAGAAATACCACTTTGGGAAACAGTCTCCAGGAGAGCCTTGATGGGCTCATACAGTCTCAACAGATCACCCCCCAACTTGCCCTTCAAGTTCTACTTCAGTTTGATAAAGCTATAAATTCAGCATTGGAGCAGAGGGTCAGGAACAGAGTCAATTTCAGGGGCTCTCTAAATACATACAGATTCTGCGATAATGTGTGGACTTTTGTACTGAATGATGTTGAATTCAGAGAGGTGAAAGAACTTATTCAAGTGGATAAAGTGAAAATTGTAGCCTGTGATGGTAAAAATACTGGCTCCAATACTACAGAATGAATAGAAAAAAAATGGCTTTTTTAATGCCATCTTCTGTTATTATTCATCGCTTTTTTGAAGAGAAGCATAGAAGAGACTTTTTTTTATTTATTCTGGCATCGCAGAAATGACTACACTGAGCTATATATACTATCAGAATTCCAATAGAAAGAAGCTTATAACTCTAGCCTCTTACATTACCTTTTCAGCATGAAGAAACAGAAGTTTTTTTTAATAACAAACACTGTTACCTTCCTAAGAACATCCTTGAATAAACTCATTCTAAAACTCAAAAAAAAAAAAAAAGTGATGCAAATCCATACGGACTGATGTGGACTGATATATTATTGAGAGGTAAAATCAAGATGTAGATCAGAATACAGATGATGATCCCAAATATATGCTTTTATCTGCATTAAGTTTTTTTCTGGAACACCATGTGAAGAACTGCTATAACTTAAGAATGGAGAAAGAGATAATTTCCATTGTATAGCTTTCTGAACTATTTGAATGTTTTTTACCATGTGCAAGTGTTATTTACATAATAAAAATTAACTAGCATTAAGAGTCATAACTTTCAGAAAATCAATACTGAAGACCTTCTAAGGTCAAGAGAAAGGACCATCCTGTATAATTTCCCAGGTAAAAGTCACTCTTGCAGGCAGCTCTCTGCTGGCACCCACAACTCAGGGTGGCTTTGCTGCATTCTTCCTGGACCTAACAGCTCTCATGAAGGAATAAAAATATTGCTTCTTTATGATAAATGCTCCTGAAAGAAAGCCAGATGCTTGTGAAATAAAAAGAAGGTCAAGCCAGGAAAAAAAACAAACAAACAAACACGACTCTGAATAAATCAAAGATTTGAACATCAAATCTGGCAAGTGACTTGGAGCTGCTACATAAATGAGAGATGAAATCACTTGAGATAATGTCCCAGCCAGAATTTAATTGCTTTCGTTTTAAAGTTATAGAATAATTATGGGTGATAAGAAGTGACTTAAACTGTATTGTATTTTACCCATTTTAAGGAGAAAATAATACTCTATGATAGTGTTTGCAAATGTGGGGATTCAAAATTTCTTCCAACTCCTCCCTCGCAAACCTCAGGGGTCTATGTAAGTGCTGTTACTGCTTTTTGAAATGCTGTCTCCCTGTCTGAGCAGTTCCTGAGAGCCTAGTCCATTACCTTTGCTTCTTCAATTTGCTTGGCGCATAACATATTCAGGAACTCTGCGTGCATGTGTGTGTTTAGATCTTTTATTTTTCTTCAATTAATTTCACAAGTATTTACTGAGCACCTACTATGTGCCACTTATGCACGTGCACATAGTTATATGTCCCTGACACCTAAATAAGAAAGGTCCCACTGCGTTTGTTTCTCACACATACCATAAAGTTGAGGCTGCGTATTGGAGTCCCGTTCCTTCCAGTATATCCTGTAATGGAGGAGGCAGCCCATTTTCTCCTGGGCTGGAATTTCGGTCCATGAAATTAACACGCTCCCTTTTTCCTCTGAGATGGCATTAATGTGGGGGCCACTCCGTGGTGCTGCAAAGTAGAACACAGGAAGCTTTTGTCACCCTCCAAATCCAAACTGTTGAACTAAAGCAAAATTTGGCAAAAGGTCCCAAGACTCACCTTTGTGCTGAGAGTCACCCCAGATGGAGCTGCATCCTCTCTGGTGCCCCGACAGCGCATACACACTGATTTCATAACAGCTGTAGGGTTTTATGTTCTCTGAAGGGAAAAGGGAGTTCTTATAACAGGTTTGGCATCACATGTGAGTCACTAAAGGGAGACATTTAAGTGTCTGATATGGATGCATTCAAGGCGCTTCTTTGCTCTCCTTACTTCAAAGATAGTTCAAGTACAGTCTGGACTGAGGGTGAAGGGATGACCTAAGTCACGAAATCTCGGCATCCTGTTTGCCACGTCGATGGCTTCTGGAAGCCCCGGCTCCCACCTCCCAAGTTCACCTCAGTGTCTTCGCAGGGTCACACGATCAAGGAGACAAAAGCTATTCCACTTTCAGCAAAGACTTAAATATAACCACACAGACTGCATTTGAAACAGAACTCACTTTCAAGGAAAAAAAAAGCCCATGGACTTCTACAAACAAATCATTTGCTATTTACAGAGAAGTGTGGCTGGTGTTTTGCAGCTACAGAACCTGGACAGCCCTTCTAACTCCGGAGATGTTTATCGGGATCTGCCCCACGCAGCTGGGACTAACTGGGGCGGCTCAGGGCAATCCAACCTCTCCTGCTAACCTCCTCCCCCTCGCTCCCCCCTGTGCTCCAGTCAGATTTCACCTGCTTCACAGCCTGGAGATTAGGAGGATACCTGGGACTGTGAAGGCTACTTCCTAGCTTTTAAAATGCCACACTTGGCAATTTTCTGTCAGTCATGAAGTTGGCTGGCAAGCTGCTCTTTCCTGTCAAAATTCCTTATTTCCATGAATTTCAGATTCTACTTCCTGTAAAGAAAAGGCCCTTTTCATAGATACTGCCCATGGCGGAACTTTCAATTCCCAAGGAAATTTAAAGGGAAATGAGAGAGAATCCCTACCAGGCAATGACAGGGTCACATGGTCAGAGTAAGGACTCTCTCCCATAGTGTTTAATGCCCTGCCATGGGCAGATCTGGTCCCCTCCACTGACAACTGATTAGGGTTTAACATTTTATTTTTGAGGAAGAGGAATTTTACATCACAGAATAATTTACTAAATGATGTGTGTTTTATATGAAAATCCATTGTCCCTTAAATATTCCAGCAAGTACCCTACAAAAAGCTCAGATGTGCAACCAGTACTGTCAGAAGAGACCACGAGGAGATCCAAACTCATGCCATGGTGAGTTGTATTCATGAACCAAGTGATATGGATAAAAAGACACAGTCAGCTTAGTCCAGTCATCCAAAGATTCTTCTCAGGGGCATGCAGACCCAGAAGCCGAAAGGGCAACACGGAATATGGAATCATATTTCATTTGGGAGAGGGTTGGGCCTGGCTGCCGTCTCTAGTCCTGGAAGCAGCCAACCAACCACTGTGCCATGAGCAGGTGTGGGAATTCCAGATGAGCTCATTAAGCAAATAGTATCATTGCATTTTGCCATGCAAAACATGAGTTCAGGGCAAAGGCCTTGGGACTGCTGCATAAGAAGCTGTGGGCTTCTTGTGAACAGCCTACCCTTAATGGAGGAGGGAAGAAAGTCTGGCTCTATAACTTAGCTGACATTTCCTTTTGCATGAAGAAGAGAACCCTCACAAGCTTGTTCCCTGGTTCAGACCTTAGGGACTCTTGTTTTATTGGCTAATTCTTACACAAACACGCCCTCATCATTAGCTTTCAAAAATTCACCTCAAAACTTCCTTAGCTTTGCTGTCCAGTGCGCAACATCCACATTCCTAAGATTTTTATTTCTTTCTACAACCTGGCCCCAACTTCCAGCTCATTTCCCACTACTCCTGCGCATACATATATACCTGGCATCCTTGGGCAAAGCCTCTGACGCCATGTATATAAACTACCTCTTTGGTGGATTTTTTGCAGAAAGCTACTTTCACCTATTAAGTATGGGAGAAGACAAACATTAAATGATCAGTAATGAGGAGTGATCACAGAGGAAATACAATGGGAGCATGCAGAAGAGGGACACAAATAGCCTAGGCATTGGGGAAGGCATTTCTAGACACCTACAGATTTCTACATATTTGTAAAAGGAGTGGTTCTATATGGTCAGAACCATTTTTACCCACAAAAGACAGTACTGATGGTCTCCCAGCCTAGGCCCCATAAACCCATCACCCAAGAGCTGGATTATATTCTGGCCTCCAGAATATACTCCAAAACACCCAATGCTGCCCCAGCCAGATGCTGGAAAAAGGCTGATAAGGATCCGGTGGCAAGGAGTCACCTTACTGTCTGGAGAGTGCCATACTGAATTCATAAGTACGAATTACTTAATTTTCTAAGTGTTTATTTCCAGAATGTAGCTTCAACACTAATAGCTAACCAAGTGTTTTCAAGCAGGGGAACAACTTTAATTCATAAAGTTATTTTACCCAGTATTATACTGATTTCATTCAAATGAGTATTTCTAAAATGCTTAAAAATATTTTAGTTCCCTAAATAGGCAAAACATTCTCTCTTGTCATCTCTTTTCTGGTATTTGGGTAGTATTACAGATTTTCTAAAAGGAAGAAACTATAAGGACCACAGGGTCCAAACTATCCCACAGAGGTCAATCCTAGTATAGTTTATAATAAGCATTTACAATTTTGTAGCAGTTTGGCGTTCAGTAAATGCCTTTTCTATCCACTATTTCATTTGATCTGATGGGCATAACAGCCCTAAAGGGAAGTTGGTTCTACAGCAACAATTCTAGGGACAGGGAATGCATTGCCCCGAGGGCTACTCAATTGTCCTATTAGAGACTATCACATGTAAGGCAATTTCTGTCTCAAAATTGAGCTGATATCCGCCTTATAATTTCCATGTAGAGGACTTAGTTTTGTTCTCCAGAGCAACAAAGGACACATACTCTTTCTCACATATACATCAAAGCCAGCAACAGCCATCAAATCGCCCACACACATCTAGAATTCTCTTCTATGGGCTAAATGGTTCCCACATTATTACTATTATTATTATTATTATTATTATTATTATTATTATTATTATTATTATTATTTTAAAGTAGACTCCACACCCAGAATGGAGCCCAGTGCGGGGCTTGAACTCACAACCCTGAGAGCAAGACCTGAGCTGAGATCAAGAGTCAGATGCTTAATCAACTGAGCCACCCAGGTGCCCTTAAATGGTTCTCACATTAAAAGTTCCAGACCCCCAATGACTTGTTCGTCTTCCTCTGATGTTCACTGGGTTATCTAGACAACACCATCTTTAGGTGTAGTGATTATAACTGAACACAATCCACTAGAAGTCTAACAGCTAAACTGTAAAAGAGGCCCACAGTTAAGGACTAGCTCACGTATTGTTTGGTGGTGTGCTCTGCTTATTTCATTTGTCTTGTCTCCATAGGCAGGGTGTGCATATCCTCTTGGGCAGGTGTAATGATGGCATGGCGTAATAAAAATACTATAGAATTTAGAGTTTGAAAAACTATGAGAATCTTAGCCCTGTCATGTATAATAATAACAGTGACAGCTAAATTACCAAGTACTTAAAATGCGTGAGGCTCTGTTCACAATGTTTTCTCTACATTAATTCCCAATGAGGTAGGTATTATTATTTTCCTCATTTGACAGATAAGGAAACTGAGGCAGAGAGAAGTTAAGTAATTTGCTGTAGGTCACACAACCTAGTAAGTGAGAGGGCCAGGGCTTAACCCCAGATAGTCTGGCTGTAGAACCTGCACTTTTTACTATGCTGAGCTTATTCCTAAAAGTGACATTAACGAAGTTCTGTCCGATCGTTTTAACATCTTTTCAGATGCTATCACTTGATAGAAAC